AAACATCATGGAGGTCACAACAGAATGATCAGAAGAAATGAAAAAAATATTATACACGTTTTGGCTTACGTTCATGTAAATCCACATGTTTCTATCAGAGATTTGGCACTCGAACTTGGAATAAGCAAAAGTAGCACCCAAAGAATATTAAAAGAAATAAATATCATCCTTATAAAATACACTTGGTCCAAGGTTTACACCCTAATGATCTTGAAAGACGCTTAGAATTTCTCGCTAGAATGCAGGTGAAACTAAATGACAATGCCACATTCTTGGATAAAATATTATGGAGCGACGAATCACGTTTCCATAATAATGGTGTATTAAATCGTCATAATTCCAATTACTCGTCCCCAACAAATCCCCACTGGGTAAGAAAAACAAGGTTTCAAAATATTTGGGGCGTAAACGTATGGAGTGGTTTGTTCAATGGTAGGATTACAGATCCTCATTTTTATGAAAACACTTTAACAAGAATAGGATATCGTGATTTTTTAATCAATACCGTTCTTGATTTGTTGGAAGATGTTCTTCTTAACCAAAGACGTGATATGTGGTGGCAGCAAGATGATGCACCAGCACTTATGGAAACCGTGTTATATCCACACATTCTCCAATTATCCAGTGGCCGGCTAGGTCACCCGATTTGTCGCCTCTAGATTTTTTTTCTGGGGTACTATAAAGGACGTAGTATACGAAACAAAACCAGATTTATACCGGCCATGATTCGAGCTGCTTGTACTAGAAATTTATTGTTAAGGTGTGACAAATGTGTGGAAGTGGAAGGTGAGCAATTTGAGCACTTAATATAAGTTATTACTACTCTTTGTTTGTTGATATTTATTTCTTGTCTTCTCCTTCTCTTGTTTCAATGTATTTGTTTTAATTATGTGTCACCTAATAAAGTATTTTTTATCATCAACTCGACATACAGTTTTATTTAATTTCTCACTTATTTATGGAGCGATTTCAAAATTTTGAAAACAGTTATACAGAGAAAAGTAGCGACTACAAAAATAAGCAGAAAAAAATAAGGTGTCGTTAATAAATTTTAAGGGGGTTGTTCCAGGGGGGTAGATTTTGAGGGTGCGTCGTCAAATTTTAATTTTTTTTTAAGTACACCGCCAATTATAATGGATGATGTTTGTTCAGTTTGAATATCTTGCATAGTTTAGAAGTTATAGCCTGGGTAAAACAATTTGGGACACCCTGTATATATATAACATAATTGCAGTCGGTTGATCAAAATATGAACGATGATTGGTGGATTTCATTTTTTTGCAGTGTTCTCACTACCTAGAATGGATATGAAATATATTCGTTCATTTGAAGGCAATATCATACTTTTTCGTTTTGTAATCTTTGCGTAGATAAGCTAATATCCATGTGGGTGTAGAAAAAATATTTTCTAATTTAGAGGGTGGTTTCTACCCTTTTCAATCTCTCTAAATGATAGCGGCTCTAGAATATGATTGTATATAATAAAACAATAATTCTAGAGTAACTTTTAAGTTAAGCCGTTTATTCTGATTAACTATAATATTTTCCAATTTAAAGGGTGGCTTCTACGCTTTTCAATCTCTCGAAATATTAGCGGCTTTAGAACATGATTGTACATAATAAAACAGTAATTCTAGCTTTTAAGTTAATACATTTATATGTAAGGGGTTGGATAATTCAAAGGGAGGGAGTTGACATATTATGAAAAATGTGTCTCTTCTGGAATACAAATCGACTTAATTTAGCATTTTTTTAACATCTATGAATACTGTTAAATAACAGGAAGGATTATTTTGAGTGGCCCATTCTGTATTTATATAACACAATAATAAAAATTATGGGTGAATAAAACCAGAAAAGATCCAAAGCATGCAGCTGCCTGAGCAAGAAGAGGATACATATTGTAACAGTAATCCTTACTGGGCATTGCCGACTAAAAAGACACCTTAATAAACTGAGAGTAGTAGAAGATAGTAAGTGCAAATTCTGTGGGGAGAAGAACAAAACCTACATTCACATTCTCACTAAATGTATAGCACTCCAGAATCCAAGGGTATTATACCTAGCAGCATATCAAATAGTAGAGAGGGATTTACCTAACTTGAAGCCACTCCAAATCCTACACTTCCTTGAGAAGATAGGATTAAATGATCCCTATAGACAATAAGACATTTCCTAGCTGCATTAGCGACAGAAAGGGACACAATGGATCTTTTAGGCCGTATTAACACCCCAGTAGGTGTTGAAATACATCAATGTTTTTGGCTTACTATTTTTTGCTCTTAACCCGTCTCTGGCTTTTTCCCGTTTGTTCTAAAATCAACAAGATAATTAGGTCAACCTTTCTCGCTGCGAAAGAATTTTGCCTTTAAAAACCAATAGATAATCTCACGTGGGTCCCGACTTGCCGATGATTATTAAAAACTAACAAACAATGATAGTGACGTAAACCAACGGTCCATTCTCTGCGTTCAAACAGAATTCTTTCTCACTTCACCGAAGCGATAGCTTCTTACGCTGCTTGAAAAACTAGTAATGAAATATTACGAGCAATTGTGAAGACGTTCCTACCCCTAATAAGGACTATCAGAGTCTTTAACCAGTTGCTAAAACCGCTCGATTATGCTATTCATGTATTATTTTGTTTTTCTTATTTTTATTCCATTTGTCACTGGTGAATGGATGTTGCTTCAGGACTCCAGGATCGTTTGAATAATGACAGTGTAACCAGGTATCGGTAACTGGTATAGCCCGAACTGAAACTATGTTTTAGGTTTAAGGAACGAATTGTAGATGGCGCTGTACACACAATTTACAGAAATCTACAATTGATGGTGGAAAGAGTGGGAGTGTCATTTGTCATTGTCAGGAAGTTGTCAGGCATCCATTGCCTCCCGGTGAATGGCATTTGCCATTTCCTGTATTTATTGTGATTATCAATAATATCATATTGTCAATAAATATTATTTGTTTGTATTTGGGTGTGCTCTGTATCCTGGATGAATAAATAGTATTTTGTAAATTATTGTTTATTGTATTGTCAACTTGGTCTTGTTCAATTGTGTTTTTAATGTTCAATTTATTTACTTGATCTTGCTGACGATTGTGGGCTTATTTTAAATTTTTGTGGTCATTTTTAGTTATAAAAGCTGTAATATCTCGTATTATATGCCAAATTGTTTTCTAAACACTCTGAAATCCCAATACCGATTTATTCAAATTTGAGTATTGGCTGTTCGCAGTCCGTTTTTCAAGAATAAAACAACAAATTTGTAAAAAATATTTAGTATGTGATAAACATTTTGAAAATATGTTTAAAGTTCCTGGTACACGCAGAGATCTAACTGTATTTTTATAGTACAAACTTTTTCAAGCCGTTTGCAGTGGCAGTATTGCATCGTTGAAAACAAAAACAGCCTAGTCAGGGAAGTAATAGTCACTGTACTTTTTGTATTCATGCCTCAGATTTGATTTTTATATTGATTTAGTTCAGATTGTTACTTTTACTGTTTTTTATTTGTTCTAGTACAAACTTTCTTCAAGCCGTTTGGAACGGCAATATTGGATTGTGGAAGACAAAATAGTCCGTAAAGTAATGGTCAGTATACCTTTTTTTTATTCATGCTTCACTTTCTGTGCTCCCTAACTGATTTGAAGGGTTCAGGGAAAAAATGGGCCAAGTAACAATTACCAAAATGTTCAGAAAATCAAATTTAACTTAGACTGACTAAATACAACCTTTTGATACTTAAGGTAATTGATTACAAAAAGATGTTACTTTGTTTAAATGTTGCCTGATTATATTGTAGTTTACCACTTAATTTACCAGACAGTTGTAATTTTTTATTCTAAATACTGAAAGTGCCAAACAAACAGTAGGAAATTTCTTAATTTTTAAATGCACTGTTTTGCATTTGCTAATTTGGTTTATTACGAGGAAACATACTGGTATTTTACAAAATAGGGCGGACCAGTTCAATTTTGATGAAAATGTGGCTCCGTCGCTTTTTTCTTCCTGTATCCTTCTTGATTTATAAGTTTATTAATATTTATTTTTTGTTTTAGATAAAACTCTTCAACCTCTGTGGATAATGACTTAACTTTTTCGCTAATTAATAAGCTACAATTAATTATTCTATTTGTATGTTTTTTTTGTTTTAATAAATTAATTTTGTTGATCATGCTTTTTAATTTTTTGTAAAATTATTTCAACTGGTAGTCAAGTTAGGATTGGTTCATACTACTCATTTTTTGCTTTATTGTAACAAATATAATTTTTTGCTACAATAAACATAAAAGAGTTAGTATGAACAAATCTTAATTTGACTACCACTTTTAAACTAAATATTGAATGATAATTTTGAATGTTCCCGCGTTTTGTGTTAACTAAAGTGAGCGCGAGATGGCGCCACTTCCGTCCAAATAGTTCAAAGAACGCTCACCCGGCGGCTACAATACTGTCTCGAATTTTAACATTGCAGTTTCCATTCTAAAAGTAAGTGATCTGTGAGTGTTACATTTATCCCTTAATGATATATTGATATAACAGTTGTTAAAGACCTATCAGTTGGTATTTCGGTGACAAACGGTGGTTCTTTTACCTAACTGGTTTTTACACTGGTGACATCAGTGGTTCTTTTTAAACGATATTGTTAGCAAGATTGTGTTTATTCGTGTGTTCGTATCATTTTATAAATTATGGTATGTTAAGTTACATAGTCCGTTCAATTTACGAGCATTTTAGTACTGACTGATTATATGTTAATTATTTTGAAACCCGATGGGTAGGCTTATATTACAAAAATTATAAGTGATTGATTACAAGCGAATGGTTGTATTTAAACACTGTTTATTTACAAAATGTAGGCACATACTTTTTCTTTAAAAATGTTTTCATATATTTATATATTAGAAAACAAATAAATAGCTAGAAGTTTACTAAATATTTATTAAAATCCTCGGTAACAAAAAAATCAACAGCTTAAATATTTTAAATTTTCCTAATGATGCCCATGGCCTTCTTCACTTCCTTGGTTAGCCCAATGAGTAACACCAACATAGCTGGTACCTCCTTGTCCACCGTGTCCATGACCGTGTCCATGTCCATAATGAGCAGGGTGTTGAGCATGACCTCTTCTTTCGACTACAGCTTCGAATCCTGTGTGAGGGGAAGATTTATATTTGACTACTCTATGGGTACCGTCGGCTTCTTTAAGAGTGTATCCTCCATGAACGTCGTGACCATGTCGATGTTCATGTTGGGATTTGTGATCATGAGTATGAGGATCATGAACTCCATACTCAAATTGGTAATGAGCGTTGTCCTAAAAAATAATAACGAAAGTTAAATTGTTTCATAAATCGTATGCCATGTTACAGATTTAAGATTCATAAAACGATATGTATGAGATAATATAGTACAGGTACGGAATTTTCAATTATACAACCCTAAAGACAATTATATTTTCTTTTTATTTCTCCCTTAAGTTTAGTATTGGTCTTTTTTTCCCATTCTCCTTCACTTTCTCCATTCTGGTTAATATCCCTAATAAAAACTACACTCATGTAATTTTCCAAATCATTCAGTTATTCTTATCTAGTCAGTATATTTGTTTTTTTTTTATTTACTTATTTATAAATTTTGACTCATAGATTGATTATCTCTCTTCTTCTACTACCCTAATTTGATCCAATCCTTTTTTCTTTTCTGACTTCCATTACACATTTTACTAAGTAGTCATTTATTTTTTCTTCTTCTGCTTCTTCGAGTTATTCTTTGTCTTCTTCTTATTACAGAGATGTAAAATTTGTAAGTGGTCTTCTACTTTGTTCATGATTAGAAATTTTTAAAAACTAAGAATAAATGTTCTTTAATTTATGTTTTGATTTTCTTCATATTTATTTTAATAATTTAATTTATTGTATTTTTTCTTATTTTCTTAACTTTAATCATGTGTAATGGTTAGAAACTTATTTATATTATTCTTAATTTAAAATTATTTACATGTTAGGTTAATGCCATTTGTCATATGTCTGCTTGTTAAAACAACGCAATTTGTAATTTTCACATATATAATTTTATAATCGAATTCTAGTTAATATTGTTTACGACCACATTATCATTATAGGTGTTCGTTTAATTATGTTATGGACAATTATGTTTGTCGCCGATTTAATAATGCTGTACCTAATATTTATGAGTATGTTCTCCTGCAATGGGTGGTTACACAATATTGAACACATGTGGCTTTGTGATTTTGTCTCTGTACTAGGTATTTATCTGCATAAGAACCTTATTGTTTAGTTTAGATATTTATTTGTCTCCCAGTTTGGCAAAAGTTTATTTAACAAATTTTTACATATATTAAAGGTTATTTTGACAATTTCATTTTTCTATTTGTGGCGAATTTTGTAGGTATATATTTTATTATATTAGGACGGTAGCGTAGGTGTCTAAGGCGCTCAGATTCATTAGCGAGTAATTTTGTCGTAGAAAAACACAGAAAAGCATGTGAATTTATTTGCATGGTTCTCTATATATTTGATGGATACCGTATTAGCAGAATTTTAATTTCTGTTGATATGACATCCAGAATATAAATATCGCCATGCGTTACCGTTTTGATGATAGTGAGTGAAGTTTTCCGGGTTTTCCTTACCTGTAATCTAAATAACACCATCAATCATCTTTAAGTTGCCCCGGAGCGCCACGGCAAATAATAAAAGCCGTCGGGTGAATTAGGGAGAGTATTATTAAATTTTTAAATTTTTATGCCAATTTACCATATCATATTATATTTCTTTTTATTTTACCATCGTTGGATCATGTATTAGATATAATTGATGTTAGTGCCACATCTTATTTTGTAAATTAATTTAATTTAAAACTGTCCAACATCTTTCAAGACTGGTGATGGTTTTATGCCGAAACTGGTTGCCTAATTTTATAAATTTTCAATAAAATATTGTGTGGTATCTATTTTGTCTCATGACTAATTGATTAATTAATTGTTTATTGGATAAAAAAAATAGATATATTTTAAATAGGTGCGAATAGTATAAAAGAAAAGTGTAAATGTTAGTGAAATACTAATTATGTACTAATTAAGCAATTATGTTGTTATGTTGATAATGGGGTGTTAATACACTGCGACCTAAAAGATCTATTGTGCCCCCTTCTGTTGCCACTGCACTAAGGAAATGTCTCAATGCCTATAGCGACCCTTCCAATCCTATTTTCTCAAGGAAGTGTAGGATTTGAAGTGGCTTCAAGTTAGGTAAGTCTCCCTCTTCTATTTGGTGTCCTCCTAGATATAGTGCCCTTGGATTCTGGAGTGCTACACATTCAGTTAGGATGTGAATGGAGGTTTCGTCCTCCTCCTCACAGAATCTGCACTCACTATCCTCTACTACTCTCAGTTTACTTAGGTGTCCTTTTAGTCGGCAGTGCCCGGTAAGGATCCCTGTTACAATACGTAGCCTGTTCTTGCTCAGGCAGATGCAGGCTTCCGATCTTTTTTGGTTATATTCACCCAGAAGTATCTTGGCCTGTCTCAGCCCCAAGAGATTGTTCCAATTATCGGTTCTTCTACTACCCAATTCTTTTTTAATCTCTTCTAATATTATGTTACTGCTGATACCGCAGAATGGCTCAGGTCCTACAAAGGGTGTTTGAGCCCCTTTCCTTGCAAGACTATCTGCAATCTCGTTACCCTGTACCCCGTTATGTCCCGGGACCCAAGTGAGAGTAACTCTATTTTTCTCGCCTAGCTCATTCAATTGTTCTAGGCATCTCCATACCATTTTTGATCTGATTACGTAAGAACTCAGCGCTTTGATGGCTGCTTGACTATCGGACATGATGATAATCTCTTGTCTATGATAGTTTCTCTCGATGTTAAACTGGATACACTTCTCGATGGCGTGAATTTCCGCCTGGAAGATGCTTGGGTATTTTCCCAAGCTTTCGGAGTGCTTGGTTCTCGGCCCATACACTCCTATTCCAGTTCCTTCTATGGTTTTGAAACCATCCGTGTACCACTGAATAGCACGTCTTTCGGTTGCAAGCGCGCTGGATTCTTGGCTCCATTCTTTCTTGCAGCCCAGCTCTGTGGTTTTGAAGTTTTTCACAAAACTGTACTTCTTTTGCATTTCATCCTGGGGCATGTCCCAGGTGTCTTTAGTCCTGAAGCAAGTAGACTTTCGTCTGATTACTCCGCTCCTGATCATTCTATATCGTGTCCTTTTTGCCACATTCTCTATCATCAAATGTAAAGGGGTGAGGTTTAAGATCACCTCCATTGCGGCCGTAGGACAGGTTCTCATTGCACCAGTAATGCAAACACAGGCTAGTCTTTGTACTTTTGAGATATTAGCTCTCGTTGTAACTAAACTAGTTCTGTTACTCCAGGCTATAGCCCCGTAAGTGATGATTGGTCTCACTATTGCAGTATACATCCATCGCAGTATGTTTGGGTTACATCCCCATCGTTTACCCGCCATGTTTCTGCATACCATTAGGGCTTTTGTGGCCTTATTTACTACTTCCTTCTCATGTGTGTTCCAGAGAAGTTTGTTGTCCAGGGTTAGGCCTAGATATTTGACCTCATTTTTCCATTCTATATCTATCCCGTCTAATTTAACGGTTTTGAGATTAAGTTTCCTTTTCCTTGAAAAGGCTACTAGTGTTGTTTTTGTAGGGTTTATACTTAGTCCCACTTCACGGCACCATATTTTGGTATGTTCTAGTCCTCTTTGGACTATATCACACAAGATATTACTAAACTTGCCACTAGCAAATATGACTATGTCGTCGGCATAACCTTGATAGGGTATGCCGAGGTCAGTCAATCTGCATAGAAGTTCGTCTACGATTAGGCTCCACATTAGTGGGGATAGAACTCCTCCTTGTGGACATCCTCTGGTTGTGCAGATGGAGATGGTGTCCTGCCCTATCTGTGTCTCTGCACTTCTCGAAGGTAACAGCTGAGCCATCCATCTGGATGTGATGTTATCTACTCCTCTGTATGCAAGTGCTCTTTTTACAGATTCGTGTGGCGTGTTGTCAAAAGCTCCTTCTATGTCTAGAAAGGCACACACGACCGTTTCTTTGTTTGTCAGTGCATCCTGGATTACATCAGTCAACTGTACCAGGGCAGTTTCTGTAGATCTTCCTGCTCGGTACGCGTGTTGGCTGTGGTGGAGTGGCACCCTCTCCAGGACTTCTGTTCTGATATATTTATCAACAGCCTTCTCCATTGTTTTTAATACAAAGGATGTGAGGCTGATTGGACGGAAAGATTTAGGATGTCTGGTATCCTTTTTCCCTACTTTTGGAATAAAGGTGACTCTGGCCCTTCTCCATGCTTCTGGTATATATCCCAGCTCCAGACTGCTCCGGGATAGCCGGATTATGTGTGGTAATAATTCCTCCTGTGCCTGCTGAAGCAGGGCAGGAAATATTCCATCCACACCTGGAGACTTAAACGGTTTAAAAGTGTTTACGGCCCACCTTAACCGATTTCTGCTGCATATATGCTTGGCCACTACCGCGGCCTCTCTTGGGGGTCTGCTTACCTTAGTTGTGTCCCTTATTAGAAAAGGTGCTTCCAGGAAAGTGAGTTTCGAGTAAGAGGCGAGCTCTTTCCTCCTCACTCTCCGTGAAGCTTCCATTTGGTTTCTTTAATGCCATAACTGTATCAACTCTCCCTTTTGCCAGGACCCTGTGCAGTCTCGCTGCCTCAGGTGTAGAGTTAATATCCTCGCAGAATTTTCTAAAGCTGTTACGTTTAGCTTTCCTGATTTCTTTGTTGTATGTAGTAAGCGCCTCGGTGTAGCTCTGCCAATCTCCGCTGTGCTTGGCCCTATTATAGAGCTTCCGCACTTCGGATTAATTAAGCAATTAAAATTAATCATTTATTTTCATACTTACATGTCCATGCCCGGCACAAGCAAAACCAAATGCAATGCATATTATCAAGATAATCTGAAAAAAAAAATTAAATTGTTTAGATAAAGAGTGCAAAATATTAGTGGATGGATATTATAATGGATGTTTAATCTAAAATCTTCATACGGTGTCCTTTTTATTTATTCACCTAAATCGTTTTCTGCATCATAATCTAAAAACACATTTTCTTAAAAAAATCAGGGTCCCTGGATCTCAACAGGAATAGTTCTCCTATGACTAATTTTTGAAATACAGGGAGTCGAACTTTTGAATTCTCATAATTTTCAAAAATAATTTAAGACGTAAATGTTGTAATTTTACTGAAATTTATAAATATTAAAAGTTATGGTTTGGCTCTCTATGATATTTGTGACT